TGTATAACAACAGAAATGTTTGATTAACAATTATTATTGTTTATTGGACCAATGACTCATATGGATTAAATTATATCGTAAATTAACAATAATTGCAGTACGTAAACTTTCAAATATAAGCAACCAACGCTACTCCTCGGAAAACATTTGACGGTTGTATATTTTATGGAGTTACATATTCCATTTTTGTATTAATTAATTGTAATTATTTAATTATATTGTATAAAATCAACAACGAATGACTTCTTTTTAATAATATCTTTGAAAACTGTTCCGTATTCCATACTTTTTTCTTCGTAACTACCACCTATTTAATGAATAGAACCTTCCGCCCTATCCTAAGGCTTTGCACCATAGTGTCGGTCGGAAGGACTCTTTGCTCACCAGTATTAGTAAGGAATTAAATATGTAAAAGTATTAGTTTTTTATCTCAAAGAAAAAGAATGCATTTGTCATTTAATTTTAATTTATTGTAATGTATTATTTTACACATCTAATACAACAACACTTTATTTTAAAAGATTCTAATGTATGTATCTAACCATTTCAACAATGGTACTGACACATGTACATGTTTTAAAACGTTTACTTAATATCACATAGTAGTGCTACCCCTCGCAACGTCCAGTGTCTTGGATTATGATCGGTTTCAAAATCAATAGACCCGACGTATTTTTGATCGGTGCGCTGGGGTTTTCTATAAATGGGACATTCGTACAATTTCGTGTCTTTTCCACCGGTTGTATTTATTGCGTAAATATATATCACAGGCATTTGTTCATACAAAACTTTCGGTTTGCTTTCTGCCAGTCTACCCGTCTTTCTGTCCAATCCAGCGCCTTCCAGGAATAATCCGTGAATGTAAACTCCTTCATTCGGTCCTTCTTTTATGTCTTCTTTACCGTAACGAGTGATGACGTTTTGCAAGACCACAGAGTCCAAGGCCCAGCCCTTATGAGCCCTTGTGATGTCCTGACACAAATATTTTGATTGCACGTTAGTAGTAGATACTAGATAATCCTTACATATTGACAAAATAGTATGCAAGGGAAGAAAAATAGGAAACGAGTGAATATAATGCTAGGAGATGAAAAATTAGAAAGAGGAAGACAGATAATTTAGGATGGAAGAAGCAGTAAAAATCGAAGGGTCGAGTCGTCTTTAACAAAAGGAAGTCACTTCTATGCTAGCGAAGGGAATAACGAACAAGAAAGATGTTACCCTTTTTTTGTTTGAGAACTTTAATATTTTTTATTAAGACATTGAAACTGATTTCAGTAAATACGAAATATTGTCATGTATTCCTTAACGTATTTATTACCTGTCTCGTCATCATCATAAGGTCGTAAGTCCTAATACTGGTTGGACAGGCACCTCCATTCTTTCCTATCTTGAGCTAATCTTCACATTTCCCTAAAACTAGAACAATCCACATCCTAACTATTTGCAAAGAGTAGTTTAATCTTGGTCTACCTCTACCCCTCCTAACTCCTATTTCTGCCTCTAATATGTCTCTGACTAGACCTTCATGTCTGAGAAGGTGTCCTACTAACCTACCTCACCTATTTCTTATTGACTTCCATTGAGTCCTCTGTTCTCCTATTCTTTCTAATACCTCTTCATTTCTAGCCTTCTTTATCCACGGTATCCTCATCATTCGCCTGTAACACCACATTTCGAACGCTTCTAACCTTTTCTTTTGCCAGGGTCCACTGTCCATGTTTCGCATCCGTACAACGCCGTGCTCCAAACAAACACCTTTAACAACTTATTCCAAATTTCTAAATTAATCGTTCGCGAGCATTGAAGTGATTTCTTTTTATTGAAGGCGACTCGACCCTGCGCTATCCTCTGTTTTATATCCCTACTACTCCTTCCGTCCTGACTTATCTGCCTTCCTAGGTACCTAAAATCAGCCACTTCTTCTAATTTTTCATCTCCTATCTTTATATTCGCTCTTTCGCTACTTTTTCTTCTCTTGCATACCAGTATTTTTGTTTTAATTTTATTTATTTCCATACAGTAATGTTTTGTCAATACCGCATCCATTTTATTTAAAACTATCTCAAACTCCTCCGCGCTAGATGCTAATACTGCTATACCTGTCTCATAGCGGTTAAAAATCCTTGTGGGTTGAAAAATCCTGTCATCCAAAACACACTCGGTTTTCCATTATTACACCAATTCCGAAACTGGTTATCCCTTTCCAAAAGTTCAGTGTACCAGAAACCTAACGTTGCAGATTCCCATGAAATCTGTACAGCGAATGTAAATAAACAATGAGAAGGGATATTAGGGATTAATACGGAGAAAAGGTGTACTAACTTTTTGCCATATGTCTGGTATCCTGGCATCGTACATGGCATCAAGTGAGGTCTTTAAATTTTGACTCATTACAATTGTTCCATCAATTGCCAGTTTTAAATCAGAAAGAGTTGTTTTAACCTTCAAAAAAAAAATAATTAGGTATACCCCCAACCCCTCCATTTAACAATTAATTAATTATTTAAGTATGATTTCTGCTGCTAACTGAAATGTTTCATATGTTATGTACCCATAAACCCGTAACTAGATACTATATCAACTGGCTTTCGAAGAACTCATTCGATTTGGTTGGTGAGTTGGCCATAGCGTGCTGATGAGATTAAATAAAATGGAAATCGCGTCCATGTCTTTAGTTTTGATAAATTGCTAACCAAGAATTAGAAAATGAGATGAAATCTTCAATGTTAAAAAGATTTATCTGCTTCACGTACTACTTGCGAAATTTATTCGATATTTTTATTCTGTTATTAATTATTAACTGTTATAATAGTAACTCAATAAAAGACATACCGTTTTTAAGACCCTTTGGATTCTATCAATTTCTTGCCTCAGAAAGATATTCATGGGTAGCAACGGTCCCATTCTTTGAAGAGCTTCTTTGACTTCAAAGGCGTTGTATTGTTTGGGTAATTTTTCCAGCATATCATCTGCTAAACAGTAAACGATGCTCTCCCTAGTTTCACCCCCACCCCCTCCACCTTCTTTGGGTTGAACGTTAAGTATAGTATCCAAAATTCCTTAAAACATAAGTGAAAGAAACGTAACTTACCCATTTGGAGTAAAGATTGTAAGTCCTAATTCTTAAACGTTAAGAAGCATGAATTATATGAATAAGTATATTCCATCAAATAATAAATTGTTGAGTTTGTTAGGTACCAGCGTAAAATAAATAAAAATAAAATTAGTGTATAACCTTTTGCAGTGTTAATTTGGTATGTGATATCAGCATTTGTATGCAATCCAAAAACTTCAGGTGTATCTGTAGTTGGTAAACCGTTTATGTAGTCCAAATATCCTTGTAAATTTCTCGTTTGAGGAACTTTATATCCTTTGTAAAATTCAAATCCCTGACGGAGCAGAATATCACAAAACCACACCTAAATATCGTAAATAAAAAAAGATTAAACATTTGACAACATTTAGCTCGTGTTTGTTAATAAGAATTCACTTGAGTAAATGTTGTTAGGAGCCTCTTATCATAATCATCAGTGACCCTTCCACCATACTGGACTTCCCCCAACATATAGCACACAGTTGGCCATGACACTCCTTTCTTTGGATCCATATCGTCCAAATGGTTTTGGATGAACTGCACACTTGCAGCAAAATCTGCTTGATTGAACTCATAAGGGACGTTCCACCCTAAAATACACCACAAATGTAAAGAAAAAGAAACTACATCAGTTACCACATGTTACCTAGAGGTCCAAATTTTCTTCTTTCTTGTACAATGGTATGCAGAAAAGCTACGGCATACAATAATGGTGGCCATTGAGGTTGAGTGGAATAATCCAAAAAGTCTTGCGTGATATTTTGGTAAGTCCTTTTCAAACTTGCTTTGATCCCTTGCGGTGGCTCGTTGGTAAATTTAATTGACATTTGTAACAGACCAATTGGAAATTGTTGATGAACTTCAGTCGTCAACCACAAACGGAAAGAACCCTCCATGTTATCTGCTTCGTTGATCATTGCCAAAATGTCCGTTGCAAACGGAAGGGATAAGTGTATGTTCTGGAGTAACACCCAGCCTCCTAGTTTCATTCCTGTTTCGATCATATCCTTTGCAACAACTTCCTGTCCTTGGCCCATGGAAACAGCTTTGAGTGCTTTAAAAGACGTTGTCATTTAAATCTATTTCGCTAGAGAATAAAGACTTACGTATATCTTTAGATTTTGCTAATGCTTGTATTTGGGGTGAAGGGTCAGACCCGATGGATAAAATGCATATGAGAGGAGTTTGGGGTTCAGATTCTTTCCATGTTGCTTCTAAATCAAGTATTGGATTTTCGCCATATTCAGGTCCCAATGAATCTGGTACAATTAAAAATTAAACAGTGTATTGTAAAACATAATGTTATTTTAGTTACGAACCCATGATGTATTTTCTTGCTTGAGATAATGTTCTGTCTTGGCTCCACGCTCTTATCAAAATTAACTTTCTAAAAACATCCAAACATTTCTGATATCCGCACGGAATGTCCTCTTCTTCAGGTTTGTCTTTTTCGTACCAGTTTTTCCATTCTCTTTCATTATTCTCGATCTAAAAGATTCACTTTAAATTTCAAAGTTTCGATTGTGTAAACTTGAAGAAACACTATTAATATATTGGGTTGTTCGGAAAGTCATTTCGTTTTTTCCCGACAGAGGATTTAATTGTATTCTTTTGCACCCAACTTCACATTTAAGCCGTATAATTTTTATATGATTTGAGAGCTGATATAACAAGGCTTGTGTGTGAAAAATTCCAATTAATTCTACGCAGTAGCTTTTGGTTGGTGCCCTTTTAAATATGGAG